TTGCTGTCCTTGCTCGCTCCAGCTCTGAGGCCATGGCCGGCTGATAGCAGGTAACTGTCTGGGGTTTAGCTTCTATAATTGAAACATTGTTGCTTTTGGAGCTGTTGCTTTCAGGCTCAGAGCTAGGCCAGGAGCTGGGCCAGCAGGTGGGGAACCTTGGCTTCCTCCATCGCCAGAGCAACCAAGCCTCATGTTCGCTTCAGCTGCGTGGCTGCCGGCCGCCATCTTGGTTGGCAGTTAATTTTCATATCACTCTGATTAGCCAAGGGGAAGCACAGTGGAGGTATGGTTAATTACTATGTTTGTCTATTATTAGATAGGATGTCTTTGGCACCCGAATGCAAAGTGCTTAATAGACATGCTCTCACCTGATCATCAGAAAAAAATACCTTAAGAATAGGTATGTATTGCTCTTGTCCCCATTTGGCAAAAGAAAGAACTGAGGCTCAGAGAGGAATCACCCAACTTCTCAGCAGTAAAGCCACACTGTGGATTGACTGTCTTGTCTGTCTCACTCAGGAGCACTCTTAACCTTGATAGTGATGATGTGGTGTCAACAGTCAAGAAGCTTCAGACTCAGTGTCTATATTCCTGGTTTCAGCAAGTCCAGGGAAGTTCAGCAAACCGAAGCACCCTAAACCTCACTGTCATTTGAGACTGTGCATTTGCATACTTCATTAAAAGTATAGGGGAGCAGATAACATGAGGAGAGCACTGTTCTAGGTTCTGTTGGGAGGGACCTAGAGAGGAATAGGGTCTCTGCCGCCAAAATATGGACAGTGCAGTTCGAGAGACAGGCTTGAGTGCAAATATGAGAAGGGAAGGTGCTAGGTCCAGCGCTGGATAAGTGGTGGTCAGATGCATGAAGAGTCCACTTGTCACATCCTGCTCCCATGGTTGTGCTCTCGGTTTAATATTCCCCATAGACCTGAGAGTAGAAGAGCAGGACTGATGGAGAAATTTCCTTTAAGCATCTTTCCCAACCTGGCAGATATCTTTTGTTGCCTAACAACAGTGATCTACTTAAAACCTCTATAAGTAGTATGGAATTTGTTTTATCAAGCCTGTGTAAAATACCAAGTTGTCTAAATGCTCTGCTCCATGGCCCATGGGTTCTCCCTTACTCTTCTTGGTGGTGCTTACAATAAAAAAGCTGCTCATTATCGATTGTTTGGTGGGTGTCATTATCTCATCTACTCTCCACCACGACTTTCGGGGGTACATACAATTATGCCTCTTTATAGCTGAGTACCTGGAGGATCAGAAGGTCAAACCCATTTGCTCAAAGTCACACAGCTAATAAGTAGCAGATTTGGGGTTCAAAAGTACACCTTAGCTTCAGAGTCCATATTTTCAACTTCCACTCTCTACTGGAAATAATCCTCCTGTGGGTGTGATACAATCTAGTAGCTATACAAACTTCTCTGATAGGTATTAGTCATTACCAAGCAGCTACTGTCGGCACTGAGAAAGCCTTAATTTTTAGGTATTCACGTTCCGTTCAAACCAATACCAAAAATAAAGCAATTCTTTTATTTATAAAAACAACAATACAAGTTAGTCATATTTTTCTCCATCAGCCACTTAAGTAATAAATACTTATTCTCATTGATTTCTCTACATCTACTTTCCATTCTACTTAAATGGAAAGCATACATGCTTCTATTGATTCTGTTTTGTGTTGTGTGTGTGTGGTTTTTTTGTCAGAATTTTGAGGCCTGAAATATGAGAAGTTATTTTTCTGCTACTCCTATTTAGGAGATTTGCTGAAAAGAGGTCGAGAATGCAACAGACCTCAAAAGTGGAGCTGAGAAAGTCAGTGTTGGAAGGAGGAATCTGTGTCCAGACTCTCATTCAGAAAGGAAAATTAGGAGCCAACAGAACTAGTTCTTACAGATTCTTTGAGACTAAAGACAAAACCCAGGAAAATTAGGAGCCAACAGAACTAGTTCTTACTCACAGATTCTTTGAGACTAAAGACAAAACCTTTACCTTGACTCACCAACTATGAAGTATGGACAAGAACTCAAAGGGATCTTAAAGCCAGGTAGTGATGTTGCTGACAATACTTGGAAGGAAGTGGACTGAGGAATGACAAAGGTTCCACCCTTCTTAGAGAGCTGGGAGCTTGGATGCCTGTGGCCCCGGGCTGTCCAAATAGCATGGAAGCAAGTGCGGTCGCCATGATAGGCAGCATTCATGATCAGCTTACAGCTCATCCCAAACCACTGGGTTCTGGAATGTTTTCTTGGGCTGTGTGGCCTTCTTAGAGAAATGTTATAGAGAAGAGGCACCAAGTGGTACCCAGGAGAAACTGCCCAGTGATTCATCCCTCTTCTGACCCTGGCTGCCTCTTAGTTGATATAGTAGGCGTTGCTAGGTAGTATTCAGCGGCACTCTCTTGAACTCCCTCACTTCCTCCCTCCCATCCCAAAGAAACTCAGCTTGGATTAGGACCAGTTTGAACCCTAATCTAGTGATGCTACAGGTGCCTCGGTTATTCTCCATGGGGAGTGTGCTGACCGGAGGTCACAGTGACTGAGACCACTTTCCACGATGTGTCCATAGGCCGTAAAGTGCACTGTGTGCTCTGACTGACATGTGTATGTTGTGTTCATCCTAGTCGCCTGTCACACCTCTCTTTCTGTATCCCATGAAGCCCTGGTTCAGGGGGAGCGTCTGGGCTCTTGGGGATACTGCCCTGTCCCCTTGAGAACACGGCGCGCTGAGTTCACCGTCTCACCATCCCATTGCTGTGGGTGTGAAAGACCCCGTTCTAGCGGGCTGGTTCTCTTCACACTCTTCTCTGCCTTCTCCTTCGTGGGCAACAAACACAGTTCCCTTCACCTGGGCAGGTATTGCCCCCTTGCCCTCCTTCCTCACTGTGCTTCGCATTGCTATGTCGCCTATGGTTATTCAGCTTTTCACTACTCTGATTCCTTCTCTTCCACCATTTTTAGCCCATTTGGATATGTTCTGTTCAGTTCTTGTCCCTCTGTCCCATTCACCATCCAAGGAAGCAACTCAGAAACAATCTAGACGTTGTCACAGCATTAAGAATGTGTGAGCGATGCCAAGCACAAATAGTTCCACTTTCGACAACACAAAAGTAAAATAATTAAAGAATACAATTGTATTGACTTATACCTGGTTCCACAGGAGACTAGGCAAAGCATAATCATTTCTGCCACAAGCGGATGTGTGACAGTTCGGAAACAGTTGTGTGAGTACAGAGAGGTTGCATCGAAAAAGCTTCATAAAATGCAACCGTGCGTCTTCACTGTAGGATATGCTTTATGCCCGATTTTGCAAACACAGAGCCGCCCACATTCTGTTTCCTGAGCAAATAATAGATTATGCCAGCTGCTTATTCTACTGTTTTACCTCAGGGAAGGAGTAGAGGTTAAAAAATTAGTTGGCTGATATAATCCATGCACTTATTGCATGACCACACACACACCCACACACACACACACTGTGTGTAAAGCCATTATGAGCATGTTTAATATTTATGAAGCTATTTAGATCATTTACCAATTCCAAACTTGTGCAATGTCATGCATGTAACAGGCTGCTGTTTTTAAAATCCAAAAAAGTGTACATTTCACTGAAGGCAATCCCCAGAAGTCATTAAAAAACTTCCTGTTATTTACACAAAATTCAGTTTTTTATTGAAGCATTTGCATCCTTTGTCATGCATCTTACAAAATCAGGAATAGGCTGCTTTTTGTAGAAACATAAAGATGAGGTGATTTTTCTCCCGAAAGCATAATTTCGTATTGGTGTGTTAAAACAGCATTAGGTAAAATTTTAGGCACGTGGCAAAAGGATATATAAAGAATGTCTAATATAAATATAAACTAGAAGAATATTATTGTGTTTTAAGCTGGAGCTTTCATCTCAAACACAAAACCCATCCATTACTAGATGATTCATATGTGGGTTTTCCATGGCAGCCCAAGTTAATGAGCCATGGAAGCTTTCTGCAGAACCACAGGGATATCTCTTGAGTCTAATTAATTGCTTGAAGTGTATTGGGAGAGTGTTGTCACAACAAGAAAAATTTTATTTTTTTACCTGCTTACACATGTTGCTTTAGAAATCTGGAATTTTCAGATAAAGTTTCTATTTTAGAACAAGTAAAAGAAGAAAGAAATGACACATCCCCATCTCTTCCCCCACCCAAGCTGCCACTCCCACCAGCTGACTCAGAACAGCTGGCTTTCTGCCAGTGGTTTCCATCACAGCCAGGCCTTTGGCGATCTGCACCCAGAGGCTGCTGGTTACCTCTTGCCGCCTGCAGTACACCAGCAGCGGGCGATGCCTCGGTCTGGGAGCTGTGGCAGCTCTGTCACCTGTCTGAGCCAGGTGGTCTTCCCTGGAAATACGCTTCTCTCTTCCTCCCGGAGCACTCTGCACTTTTCACAGCTCCTCCCAGTATGCTGCACCGTCAGTATTCCGTGTTTTCTGTCTAAAATGCTAGATGAAAATGTAAAGGGAAGCTTAGAGCCTGGTTTTCAGTTTTGGTTTGGCAGGTAGCCTTCCTCAGTCTCTAGGAAGTTGTTCTGTTGCAGCAGGACTGTGACATGAACTTCTGGGACTGCTGCCCCACGGCAAGGCCTCCGTGGACCTGGACCTTGTTCTCATTCAGCCTCTCTCTTGGAGTGAAAATAAAAATTATCTATAAAAATTATCAGGCTAGGGCCGACCTGGTGTGGGTTACCTTTGCCGAGTATTTTGTTTCATCAGATGTGAAAATCACTGTGCCCTATTCTGTAATGCAGACATCCTACCCGCAGTGGAATAGTATGTTTTCAGTGATTTCTGAAGATGGGCGTGAGAACTGTCTGCCACATGGCCTGTGTTTGCACATCTCTATATAGTTACGATTGAGGAGTTTGACAGTAACTCTGAATCTGATTAATTAAGAATGTGTAAAAACAAAGTTCTTGCATTACAGCTCGATCCTTATCTTTGTGTCTTTTACTGTGATGTTGTAGAACTTGGATCATATGGAAAACTAAAATATTATGACACAATGACTGAAGAAGGTAAGAATGATTTTAGAATTGTATGCATTGGCTTTCTTTTATTTCTAGTGTCTGTTGCTTGCCCATTTTTTTTAAAGTCATTTTCTTCCTCTTTGCATGACTTCCGTGACATTGTGTGAGTTATTATTCTTTCTGCGTGTTCGTCTAGTTTTTGCCATCGTGTTCATTTGGAATTGGAGATGTGCAATACCATGGGTAATCATGTTATTCCATTCAAAAGATCCAATCCATTGTGATTGTGTAACCCACTCAGAGAAATGGTGTTGGCAGCGTAAACACAGCCACACACCCATTGTGTCAGCATTGCTTCCTCCACATGCTCACGACAATGTAGAGAAACACACCCAGCCAACACTCCTCTTACAGCGTGCCCTTAATTTCAGAGAGGGGTTTATGTCCTGGAGATACTCTGATTTACACAAAGGAATAAGCGACCTAAAGTAACTCCTGGACCCTAATCCAGCTAGAGACCCGTTTCTGATTCGGGGTTGCTGTCGGCTCATGTCCTCAGCTCCCACAGTGCCTGCTGACTCAGCAAAGTCATTGCTCTGAGAGACCAGGGTCAGCATTCCAGCCGGTAGGTTTGTACATGTTGAGATTCACCCCCTACGAGCTCGGGCATATCATCTTAACCATTTCCCCGGGGCAAATAGGGTCTGACAGATTTATTTTTAAATGTATTTACTAATGAATTCCAGGCACTATCCCAGGGCACAGCTTTGCCCCAGTTGATCATTGTTCTGGGATTAGTTCACCATGGAACAGCAATTTGGAAAGTTTGCATTCTTATAAAGGGACTTGTCCTATTGCCCTCTTCCTCATCTCACTGAATAATAAACAATGTGTGTAAGTTATAAAAAACATTTGCGGTTTCTACCTGACTTTTACACTGATATTGATAAGATATCAAAGGTACCCCTAGAAGGGGAATCAGCTATTTTTATCCTTCAATGTGAGAGATACTCCCAAATGGGTTGCATATCTTGTTTTCAGCCTCTAGCATTTCGAAGTTGCCTGAGCTTGCCATAGATCTCCCAGTGGCTCTGCATGCCGGAAGCAGAACATCTGACAGCAAGAGGAAGCCCCTCACAGCCCCTCCCTGCTCTGGCTTCTGCACTACCCCCGGTCCTTTCCTGCTCTCCCTGTGCTTTCAGAACCACTGTGATGTTTCCTAAAGCAGCAGGGTGGGGTCTCAGCCTGGGCCCTCTTGTAGTCACCCCAGGGCTCTCCCCACAACTTGGGGAAATGCAGATCCTTGGGGCAGTGAGGGTCCAACAGCAGGAACTACCTATGGGAATAAGTGTCCTACCACTGAGCGGCAAGAAAGACAACCCAGACCTTAGAGGCAGGCACCTGTCCCAGCTCTTTCTATTCCATGTCTTCAGCCCACTTTGGCTCTTAGTGGGATTGGCTTGAGAAGCCTGAGCTGGGACTCATTGACTTTATCATTTGATCGCTCTCCCGCGTCTCCCCAAGCCAACGCCTCTGTTTCGTGGCTCAGGTGGCAGGTAGGTTTGTTAGCTCCTACCTGACCTGTCACAACCCTTCACTTTCTACTCCCTCCTGTCCTTTGCCTTCCACCCTTCGGTTCCCATGGCCAGAGCTTCTGCCTCCCTGTTGCCTCAGTTGCCTCATTTCTCTCTTACCTGGTTTCTTTCCTCTTTTCACATCCATTTGAACGAGGGTTGCTGCCCAAGCGTCCCTTTCTCTTCCTCCCTACACCAGATCACATGAAGATGCAAAACGGCTACTTCCAGTCTCATGACTGCCCTTGCTAATGGCTGGGCTTTCTGGGCAGGGAAACAAAGTCAAAGTAATGTCTGCAGTGATGGCCACGGCTGGCCCTGGCCCGGACCCTGGCACGACTGTGACATTGTGTTCGGGGGCCTCAAGGGTCGCCTCAAACACTTCTTATTCTTCTCTTGACTTTCCTCTCCCTTCATGCATGTCTCTTTGTGTCCTGTTCTTAACTGAACATTTATTCCCATCACGGAGATAGCTAATAGTAATGAAGGCAGCATTTTTAAAATGTGCTCTATGAAATACTACTTTCATGTGATGTCCATAGGAATCTTGTAACAACCCAGAAAAAAAAAAACAAGAAAGTAAGATCGATTTCATTAAGTAAGTGGGAGAGCTTCTAAGTTAAATAGGTTCTTTACCAAGGGAATCAGCCTCAGTGGCACCGTGCACTGCAGCCCAGAACGCGTTGTCAAAGGAACGGAGTTTGCAGGACTTCGCAGACTTCGTTGGCTATAGAGCCCATTCTTCCAGGAAGCCTGGTGTAGACTGCTTTGGAAATGCCGGTGAAGGTGTTCTCTTTCCCCTGGAATGGGAACCTCCGAAAGATGAGTCTTCTGAACACGCCGCAGTCCCCCTCGGGCACTCCTAGAAAGGATGCTTGGAACAGCAGGTCTCCATCTAGAAGACACTTCAAACCATACCCTCTGGCAGCTGCCTCCGCGACAAGCCAGGCTTATACCTGATTCTGGGATCCCATCTAAAATATTCAGAACTAGCTAAGTAACCTCAGACCTGGCAACTGCCATGCAGGATTCCTGCAGACTCTAGGGGCCTCTCCCAGCCAGTACAAATAATAATACCTGGGATTGATGTCACTTCCATGTTGTACAATGTAAGGAAGTGTAATGAAGATGAAGATGTTTGGGGTATCAGTGGACAAGCCAGCCTTCAGGAAATACCTACCTCTGGTTAAGCATTTCTTTTCACAATCTTAGAATCTTAGAATGTGACTACCCCTTGAGCAGAGCTTTATCATAAATGCCCATGGGACTAGTCATTATTTGTAACTGTTTTCAGGGAATTCTCTGGATGTTGGATGGTGTTAGCTACTGGCAATGAGGCCTGAGGGTTTTTTCCCACTCAAGTGGATAAAATGGAAAGATGGATTATATATGCCACCCCACCCTTAGGGAAATTGAGTGATGAGGTCCTAAATATAGAAAACTGTTCTGCACATATTCAGTTCATTATTTTAGCACCTACTGTATGCAAGTTACTCTGCTGGGTGTTTTGGGGAAACACGTGATTAAAAGGTAGGCAGGTGACCCTCAAGGGACTTGTAGACAGGCGAAGAGATAAAACACAGCAATCAGCCCTAACTGGTTTGACTCAGTGGATAGAGCATCGGCCTGCGGACTGAAGGGTCCCGGGTTCGATTCCGGCAAGGGCATGTACCTTGGTTAAAAAAAAACACAAAACACAGCAATCACTTAGCCACCAGGAGGAAAGTGGTAAATGCCATAGATATTCAGAAGATGACACACTACGGGAGGAGGAAAGATTGCTTTCAACTGGGGAGAAGATTTTGTGGAGAAAGTGATCTTTGAATTGGGCCTCAAACAATCAGTAGATACGAGTTAACTGGGGAAGGACAAGTGGTAAGTTCTGACCTTCCAGGCAGAGAGGGATAAAAGGATGGGGGCACACCCACCTTTCCTGGGTGCCTCCCACCTGCCAGGTACAGTGCTGTGGCTTTATGTCATTTAATCCTTATAACGATCCCACAAGGTAGATTTCATTGAAGATGAGAAAACCAAAGCTCAAACAAGTATTTTATTAAGATGAGGAAACTAAAACTCAGAGAAGCAAAGTATAATTTGCTCTGGAACTCAGAGGTGGTAAGTCGTGATGTAGGACCTGAACTCAGGACTGGGTTGACCCAGCCCTGCCCTCCCGGACCCCCTGTGGTTAGCTGTACAAGGTGGAGTGAGGACAGGTTAGATTGACTACAGTATAGGGAGTGGGAAAAAGGCTTGAAGGAAAACCACATGAATGGAAAGGTTGGATCCACAAACTAAGGACATCGTGGAATGAACAAGGAGCTATTGGATAAAACATAAACCCTTACTTGAACACTTTATTTAAAAGGTTATTTTAATAAAAATAATATACTCACTCTTAGGCACTGAATAAAGTTATGACATTTTTGCAAAATTTGTTCTTGCCCTTTAGGCCACTTTCCCTCCCTTCCTAGAACCTAAATTGCAGCAGCTCGCTGGACCACACCCAACCGCCTCTCCCACCCCAAGCCAATCAGAATTGTATCCATTCATTCATTCATTCATTCCCTAATGCACGGTTAGTGCCATGTCCGGCAGCACAGTATGTCCCAGGCACTAGACTGGGCACAGCGCCTGTGGAAATTAAATGCAGCCCTTCCCCTAAAGAACTCGCACCCTAATGGGGGACACAGGCAGAGAGGTGAGTAGTGAGATGCACAGACCCGAGGTGCTGGGGGAGCTCAGCAGAAGGCATCTCCACTGCCTCAGTCCTGCTTCCCAAGATGGCAACTACCTCACCAGCCACCTGATACTAATGTGCTCACTTAATAGTACCTGAGCACATGCTCTGTACGAGACACTGTGTTAGACTTGCTGGATTAGTGAGCGGCACTCCTCGCAAGGACTATATTTTTCTTCTGCAGCGAGATGTTCCAGAAATGCCACCAATTACTTCCGAAATAGTCTTTTGGTGACCTCAGATCCCTCTACCTGAGCAGCCCTCCTTCTATCTCCTCATGGGGTGATACTTTCTATTCTTTGAAGAGCAATCTCCAATTTTACCTAAAGTTAATAGCCCATAGCTTACATCTCATCTGCAGATACACAAATGTCATACCATTGTCACGCTGGCCAATTCTCAATACATTGAACTTGGCTCCCTTACTAAAATTACTCTAGATGGAAATATAAAAAGCTAGTTGAAAAGACAACAAACTTATGCAATAGAACAAGATAAATTAAAAGGAGACGAGACCTTTTCACCAATGGCATTATAAAGAACCATTAGTGTTTATTCTTTGGAGATAAATGTTCATAAAAACATATAGGTACAGAGATAAACAGAAATCCTGACTAGTAAAGAAGTGATGTATGGGGAAAGCTGCTTGCAATGCATTATCCTAAACTTATTAACACTTAACAAAAGCCATTCCAGAAAAATAATTTCTCCACTATTTAAAGAAGTTCATTTTTGTT